GATAATATAGTCTTAAAGGGACACTGTCAATGGATGACATGCGCAGTAACAGTCTCGCCTCTAACGGACTTTGAAAGTATTACCTTAGAGGTAAATCATTTTGTGGTGCTTTTGACACACTTTGGAATATTCTAGATCTGTTTACGTTTACGAGCTGATTTATGTCGCGCCAACTTGGAGTCATAAACCTAATGTTTTCAAGTTTACTCGCGCATGCGTGCCATTGACAGTGTCCCTTTAACTGCACAGTGTAAAGCCAAGCTTTAAACTTTAAGTGACTTGCTGAAAGCTAACTCATAAAAACAATACCTTCTTGATACAAAAAGCACCTGTTTCGTGAATTTTTTGTCTAGTCAATGATATATATGATGTAATTATTTGTTATATTAAATCTTGATAAAACAGCTGACTTGTTTACTGCAGTTCTCCAGTCAGTAACATGTGTGCAGCCGTTTTTATGGACTTTTGGCTGCACGCAACACTACCAATCCGATCGAATAGTTTGGTTTCTTTAAAGAGAATGACTTCTTGGACAAGCGCCAACAGACTTTGTTCCTGGCGTAATTCTTTTAAAATGATTACTGTGATTTGCGCATCTTTTTAACTGCCTCACAGACCTTAATGGTAATACTCAAAAAGACTTGTTTGGCCCACTGCATTGTACAGACCTTGTTGAGTGATTGATTTTCCTTTTTTTAATATCATTTATTTAACCGAGTATTAGCTTACACTCATTGCGACACTTTCTCTTGAAACTATAAGCAGCAAATACGAAGTCCAACATTTCTCAAAACTAACGAGATGAAAAAGTTTCATCGCTTAATTTTTCACTGTTGGTCGTACTGTTTTCTTCTGTCGAGTTTTGTCGAATCGAGACAATTTTGAGAGAACAACATTTTAAGTATTAAGAGACAAGGTATACACTGCAGGAAACAGGAAACATAAATGAATTGAAAAAGGATAGAAACAAGGCAATAAAATTAATTTTTTCTACTTTTTATCAAGTTCTCCGTAATAAGAAAGTGACTTGTAAACAGCAGAATAGGATAAGTTTCCAGTATCGATCAAAGCTCAAAAAAGTTTGTTGATATTTCCGTGAATTTCACCTATAACCTTTTAATGGGCGAGTAACTCAATCTTTCAATACTGTTTGTCAGTCCTGAATAATCGATTGTGAACGTACCTTAAAAGCCGTGTGGTTTCAGCCCGCTAAAGGGCGTTATAAAGGGCGAGTAAGGGGCGTTTCTAAAAACATGAGATCCAACTGAAACGTGTCATTATGTTGGGTAAATCGCGCACTCCGATTGGCTATCAGTGGTTTTCTTTAGCACAATGCGATCACAGTTACAAACGCGTGCGTCCATGAAATGCAAAATGAGCAAATTTGTTGCAGAACCGTTGATCAACGAACTACTGTTCAACTTGCAGAAACAACTGTTTTTGTTATATGAGAAGTTAAATAAATCACGTGTAAAGCTAACAGAAAACACTAATCTCAATGCGTGACAARTTGTTGGACGTTTTTCATCATGTTCAGCCAACTGAACGCCCTTTTTAAACGTCGAACACCATTATACAGTCATTTTACCCGAATATCTCTTTACAAATGACTTAAAAACAAGCACTTGATTGAGAATTGAGACGGTACTAGACGGTGGGAGTTTATACCTCAATTCGATTAAGAGGCCATTAACGGAAGTATATCAAAGAACACCACGACCCTGTTGAMTGATCTTCTTAAATGTCTAGACTACTGCATAACACGCACGCATTGCTTAAAAACCSGATAACATCTTAACTTTGGCTTTATTCACTGTACTAAACATGAAAGATAAAGTAATCTCATCGAGGTATTTCGCTGTGATCGCCATTTCTGCGCTGGCTGCGGTGTTGATACTCTATGGTTGTGAGTTYGCACGAATCGAGATGATCTTAAGAGATCAGCGAACACAAATTCATCATTTGGACGAAATGTTGGCCACCTTGGTGGATTTGAATGCCGCAAGTGATGCCAGCACTGCGGAAGACGTCGAGCTAAAACAGGCAACTCGATTTCTGTCTGGACGCAGTAGAAAACGAAAGAGYTTGGATGTGGAAGGAGAAACYGAGCATTTAACRCTCGGTAGAAATCGTAACAGRTTTTTAAAAGTCATCCAAGCTGAAATCAAAAAAGCTTTGTTTAACTTTTATGAAAGTAAATACCCTGTACTCATACCAGGCCCTCCCGGTCCGCCTGGAAAAACCGGTTTGACTGGTCCGCAAGGACCACCAGGAACCAATGGTCAAAGAGGAACACGTGGAAGAAAGGGTKCACAAGGAATGCCTGGGAAGACTGGAATACAAGGACCTCCCGGATTAAAGGGTGACCGTGGAGAGATGGGACCAATTGGTTTACCTGGASCGCGATGCTTGCCGGGAGCAAAAAGGAAACCAAATGGCTTTGAAKTTCCCCAAGTCCAAGTTTTAACTCCAGTCTTAAATGTGAATGAAAGTGACCAAGCTGTATTTAACTGCAAGGCCAGCGGTATTCCTAAACCTGTAATAACCTGGAGCAAAGTGATTGGCTCCTTATCAGTACATAGTGCGGTTCATGCTGTCAGCGGTGATCTAGCTATAAACCACGTGACACTTAACGACGCTGGTAAATACAAATGCAAGGCAAACAACATCATTGGCTCAGCAGAGAAATACRCYACACTCACAGTGAACTATCGACCAATCATAACCCTCAACAAAGGGCCAATCAGCGTCTTGGTTGGCAGCAACGTCACTCTACCACGATGCCACGTTATTGGACATCCAAAGCCRAAAATCACTTGGTCWAAGGCTTCGGGACTTTTACGGAATTACTATACTACTGACCAAGGAGAAYTGACTTTGTTTAAAGTGAATATGAATGACTCTGACCAGTACATTTGTAAAGCAGAGAATTTTCTCGGATCAGTAGAGRMAAGTTCTGTTCTAACCGTCATTGGATTCCCTGTGTTTGTCCACAAGCCTGCTAAAATGTATCTTGTAACAATGGGCTCAAACTTTGAAATAAAMTGTAGTGCRAAAGGAGATCCTGAACCAGTTATAACTTGGACAAAACAAAATAAACTAATCTCGTCTACATCGAGCAACAAAGTTAACACTGGTTCTCTTATTGTGAAGAATATTCAAAGCTCTGACACAGGCATCTACACTTGTACTGCAACTAGTGGTGGAATCGCTCAAACTACAGCAACAACAACTATAAAATTACGTTATCATGATTGCTCAGAGCTCTACAAGTCAGGCGAACGACGAAACGGTGTTTATAAAATCCAACCGACAAACTACAGCACCTTCTTKGTCTATTGTGAYATGAYAASTGATGGYGGCGGCTGGACTGTCATCCAAAGAAGACAAGACGGCTCACAAGACTTTTACCGCAACTGGAACCAATACAAAACCGGTTTTGGAAACCTGACTGGTGAGTTTTGGCTTGGAAATGACGTCATTCATCTGCTAACAAAGAGAGTTCAAACAACTCTTCGCGTGGAACTAGARGACTGGGGAGGAATAAGAGTGAATGTGAAATACGAAGATTTTTACATTGCTAACGAGTTTAGTAAATACAGAATGAGGGTTGGTAAATACCTGGGAGATTTGAATGATTATGATTCATTGACGCAACACAACGACATGGCGTTCACGACTAAAGAYAACGATAACGATATGCACAAGACWTYAAACCTTGCAGTAGTCTACAAGGGSGCKTGGTGGTACTATGATGACTACAGCTCTAACCTCAATGGCATGTATGGCAGGAATATCGGCAAATGGCAGGGAATAAATTGGGTCAACTTTAAATGGCATCAGACACTAAAATTCACTGAAATGAAGATCAG